CCAGGTAGGTTAGATATGTGTTGATCACACACACTTTTAAAAGAAGTAGAGCAATTGTGGATTGAATCACAGCTAGAAAATACTCCAAGTTAACCTTGATAATTTAGTATCTCATGGAACATGATATACTAGACATGGAAGTGTTGGAGCAAGTCCAGAGGAGGCCACCAACTTGCTAAGAGAACTGGAGCATTTCCCCTGTGAGGACCGGCTGAGGGAGTTGGGGCTGTTGAGGCTGGAGAAGAGAAGGGTGTGTGGAGACCTCAGAGCACCTTCCAGGAGCTGAAGGGGCGCCAGGGAAGCTGCAGAGGGATCTGTGTTAGGAGCTGCAGGGACAGGACAAGGGGCAATGGGCACAAATTGAAAGAGGGAAATTTAGGTTAGATGTTAGTCAGAAGTTTTTCCCTGTGAGGGTGGTGAGACCCTGTCCCAGGTTGCCCAGGGAGGCTGTGGCTGCCCCAAGCCTGGCAGTGTTCACAGCCAGTTCCTCCTTTCACTGCCCAAACTGACATTCCAGTAGACATTGGGGCTTTTTTTGTTCTGTTTTTTTCAGGTCGGTTCAAAGCTCATCTCCTGCCACAAACTGGTGCTAGCTTGTGTTATCCCTTACTTCAGAGCCATGTTTCTCTCAGAAATGGCTGAAGCCAAGCAGAAGCTGATTGAGATCAGGGACTTCGATGGCGATGCAATAGAAGACCTGGTGAAGTTTGCCTACTCCTCACGGCTCACCCTAACAGTGGACAACGTGCAGCCTCTCCTGTATGCTGCTTGCATCCTTCAGGTGGAGCTGGTGGCAAAGGCTTGCTGTGAATACATGAAGCTGCACTTCCATCCCTCCAACTGCCTGGCAGTCAGGGCCTTTGCAGAGAGCCACAACCGCATTGACCTGATGGACATGGCAGATCAGTTTGCCTGTGAACATTTCACAGAGGTGATGGAGTGTGAGGACTTTGTGAGTGTGTCACCACAGCACCTCCACAAACTCCTGTCCTCCAGTGACCTGAACATTGTAAATGAAAAGCAGGTTTACAATGCTGCTATCAAGTGGCTGCTGGCCAACCCACAGCATCACGTGACGTGGCTGGACGAAATACTTGCACAGGTAGGTCAGGCTGAGGTGCCAAGTGCTTGTCTTGTCACTGGTTTAGTTGTATCAGCAACTGGTTGTACTTAGGGAGACCTCAAGGCAAAAAATGTTCTTAGCTGTTGGTGCCTCGTGGTGACCACAGTTGTGAGTCAACAGTGGAAACTGGTTAGATCTCTTGAATGTCAGGGAGAAGTTGTATTGTCCTGTCTCTGTAGAGAGAAGAGGACTCACTTTATGCTCATGGCTGGGTGTGGGGAGCCAACAAAAAGCTACATTTGTGCTAGATTAGAAACCTCTCAGGTTTACATGAAACAGAGAACATAAAGCCATAACTTCACTTGATTTGTCACTCCTGCAGCTGAAACGCTCACTGCCCTTGCTAGTATGTGTTTGAACTTAAAGGTTGTAAAAGTTATAAAGTCCTCCTGTTGAGGAGACTTTTACATGGCTAGGAAAGTAAAACTGTGACACAGATGTGTCACATCAAGTTGTGCTACTTCTGGACTATTTTGTGTATTTAAGTAACAAAAGACCCCGATGTGTTAGCCCTATGAGTAGGCTAGAAAAGTTGATGGACCTTTTAGTGCTTACTAGACTAGGCTAGGAAAATGATGGACCTTTTAGTGCTCACTAGTCTAGGCTAGGAAACATGCTGGACCGTTTAGTGCTCACTAGACTAGGCTAGCACTGGTAGGATCAGCTGTACAGTTTGAGTTGTCACTGAACTCCGACTCGAGTATTCTGCATTTGGCTAAATTGCTGATGTTGGTGCTGCTGTCATTGTCCTCATGCATCAGATTTCACATTTCCTAGTCAAAGATCACAAGGGTTTGTGAACTGTCTTCCAGAACCCTTCAGTTTCACCTAGGCTAGCATGAGGTTTTTGGTACAGAACCCCCTTCCTTAGTGCACTCTAAGAACATGTACATCAATGTAATTTGAGATGTAAGAAAAGAAAATGGATTTTTATTGCCCAGTTGTGCTAACAGATGAGATTAACAGCTTTATTCTGTTGATGGAAACCAGAGTCTAGATTGAAGCAGTGAAAAAGTAAACCCCTTCCTGTTTACAGGGTTACCATGGGTTATTTGCCAGAATTTATGGAATCATCAGTTGCCTTGAACGTTATTGCTAGCAGAAGACATGAGTGAGCTTCTCCACAGTTATTACCCACACCACAATCAGCCTGATGGGTTTTCTTTGTTCTGGATCTGCCACCACATCACTAACCTCAGGAGCCTTAGCTGGGCTGCAGTGGTGCTCTGCAGCAGCCTTGAATAAGCTGAGCCAAAATGAAAGAAGAGGTGAGAGTCAAAGCAAGTAGGTGAGGAAAAACTAGTAGAGACACTTGCTAACTTGAAGCCAGGGATACCTGTCAATGGTATAACAGCACCATCCTGCTGCTCTGGGAAGCACTGGAGATACTGGACCTCTTCACCATTGCTGCTGGGCTAACTGGGAGCGGCTTGACAGTGTTGACTCCAAACCTTAGGAAGTCAGATGGAGGTTTACCCTCACTAACACCCGTCCCACCTTTGCCCCCTGATCGTACCTCACGTTCTTCACTGTTTCTCTCACAAGGAAAAATGAAAGGTTTGCTGAAATAAACGCCAGGAGGGATTTAGGGAAGGAAACAGTTAGCTCTCAACATCTGTATAGGTTTTTTAACCTTTTAGTCTGTCACATCTGCACTAGAGAAAGGTGTTACTGGACTAGCAATGCCTCCTTGCCACTTAGGGGACCCCTAAGGTCCATTCCAACTCCCTCCTGCAGTGTTACTGCAGTAGCAGTGCCTCCCTGCCACTTAGGGGACCCCTGAGGTCCATTCCAACTCCCTCCTCAGTGTTTCCTTTCTGACTTGCCACTGAGAGAAAATGAACCATTCCAGCATGAGCTCTCTGACACTGGCATAGCAGTGAGCTGAAAACTCATCCCCTCAGCAGGCTGCCCTGGCACCAGCTCCCCTGGCAGAGTGTCAGGTGCTGCTTGCAGCAGGCACAGCTGCAGTGCAGGCAGCACCACTTCTCCTCGGGCCAAGGGACAGCTCCCCACTGCTGCTTGGAAGTGGTTGTGGCAAACACTTGTGACTGAAAAGAGCTGTTCATACCAGTGTTATCTGGACAGGAATAGGCAAGCCACTGGTGAGAGAGGAGCGTGGGGTGCCAGCTGGCTCAGGAGCTGCCAACTGTTACGTGTGTGTGGCTGTGAACGCTCAGACTTGCTCGGTTCAGCCAGTTTCTCCTGCTGTGTTCATTCCTGTCAGGTACGGCTGCCTCTCTTGCCCATTTGTTTCCTTATGGGTGTTGTGGCAAAGGAAGAGATTGTCAAGCAGAATCTAAAATGTAGGGATTTGCTGGATGAAGCAAGGAACTACCACCTCCACCTGAGCAGCAGGGCAGTGCCTGACTTTGAGTACTCCATTCGCACAACACCAAGGAAGCAGACTGCTGGTAATTCAATGTGTGTCTGGTTACCCACTAGGGAGTGGTGTGGAGGAAAGGCAGCACATCTCTGCAGGTATCTCCATACCCTGCAGGTATCAAGCAGGTACAGCTTGGTGTCCAGGGTCGATAATGACTTAATGCAAAATTGGGAACACCACTGTGTACCTCTCTGGGGTTTAGCTAATGTGCTGCGTTTTCCTAACAGCTTTAGCAGACATTTTCTTGACCACATTATTACTTATTTGTCCTGACCAGCTCTGTGTTAAAGCTAGAGCTGTTAAGTATGTTGTGACCAGTCTCTGTGTCCACAAAAACAGTGGACAGTTACCTCTCTGTGTAAGAAGGCTGAGCTAGCTTTTAAAAGTATTTGGCTAGCCTACACCAAAAGTGAGTGATGAATGTTAGACTGCAAATCCTGATTTTTACATTCTTGTATTTAACAAGCAATGTGTTTAGCAAAAATTACAAAAAGCATAGCTAAACTATGCATTGTTTTTGCAAGAGCACAGAGAGCTGATTGCCATAGCAGCATGGCAAGAAGGCCAAAGTCCAGTGTGGAGTTATGCAGGGCAGTGACTGTGGCCCTTGAAGGGAAATACAACTTCTCTTCAACTACATGACTTCCAGTTCACCCTGCTAGACAGCTGTTTTTCCCCACCCTCATGCTAGTTTTCTGGGAACCTCTTTTGTGTCCTTCAGGTGTGCTGTTCTGTGTGGGTGGCAGAGGTGGATCTGGTGACCCTTTCCGCAGCATCGAGTGTTACTCCATCAGTAGGAACAACTGGTTCTTCGGCCCTGAAATGAACAGCAGGAGGAGGCACGTGGGTGTCATCTCTGTGGGAGGTCAGTAACCCTGTTCAAGCAACCCCAGTCCAAAGGCATTTGTCTGCTCCTTTTGCTGGGGAATTGGGACATCTGCTAGTTGTACAAGTAGTAAACTACTTGTTTAGTTGTTGGATGTTCTTCAGTTTAGTGAAGCTTCTCCCTCAGGAAGGAGTGTTTGGTTCTGAACCAGTCTGAGATCATGCTTATGGAAATGACATCACTGTGATCTGACAGGGTTGAGGCTGATCAGCCTTGAGAAGAGAAGGCTCCACAGAGACTTTATCAAGCCTTCCAGTGCATAAAGGGAGTGGTGATCAAGGCCAGGTTGGCTGAAGCCTTGAGCAACCTGATCTAGTGAGGAGGTGTCCCTGCCCAGAGCAGGGGGTTGGGACTAGATGATCTGTAAGGTCCATTCCAACCCCTAAATTCTATGATTCTGTGATTCTACAAGAAGGATTGGCACAGACCCTTTGGTAGGGCCTGTTGCAATAGGACAAGGGGTAATGATTTTAAACTGAAAAAGGGTAGAGTTAGGCTAGATATGAAGAATTGTTCTACAGTGAGAGAGCTGAAACACTGGAACAGGTTGCCCAGGGAGGTGATAGATGCCCCATCCCTGGAAGCATTCAAGGTCAGGCTGGATGGGGCTCTGAGCAGCCTGATCTGTTTGAAGATGTTCCTGCTCATTGCAGGGGAGCTGCGCTAGATGAGCTGTAACGGTCCCTTCCCACCACACCAATTTGTTGTGTTGCCTCTTGCCTTAAGAGGTGATTTACTTGCTGAAAATCCAGTTACAAAGAAATGGCCTGACACAGCTGTCACCCAGGATGTGCTGGTACCCAACTGGCTGCCTGCAGACTTAAATCCATACAGCCAAGTCACTAGGGCCAGAACTCTTCCAAGAGCAGACCTACCTTTATTTTGGGGTCTCTGCCTTCTGAAACCAGGTCCATGCAGTCTAGAGCAGCTCAGCACCAATGATGCAACTGCTCCTAGTACATGGCAGCCCCTCTGTTTGTGCAGCAGAACAGAGATTTTTTTTCTCCATAGAAAATCTGGAGAGACTGATATGCATGTCCAAACTGATCTGATCTGCAGGACTTAAGTTAG